ATATATTTGGAAGTCATATGTATGTAATGTACAATACTCAAGAAGTTAGCAAGTTGGATTCAAAATCTAAAAAATATGTATTCTTGGGATATACTGATGGAGTGAAGGGATATCGCTTATGGGATCCCACTACCCACATGGTAGTCATCAGCAAAGATGTCATATTTGCAGAAGATAAAATGCAAGTGGAAGAACATGATAGCATTTTAATAGAGACTACAACATTTTAGATGGAAAATACTCAGAATCATACTTCTTCTGAAGCTGTACCAAAACATGAAGAACAAAAACAAATAGAGTCTAAAACTCCTGAAATTCAATAGTCAACACATGAAAGAAGACCATCGGCTTGACACTCAGAATATGTTACTGAGGTCAACACATGAAAGAAGACCATTGGCTTGACACTCAGAATATGTTACTGAAAGCAACATTGCATATTATTTTCTAACATAGGATGAAGAGCCATCAACTTTCCACGAGGCTATCAAAAGCACATATAAATCTATGTGGATAATAGTAATGCAATAGAGATTAAAGCTCTACACAAGAATAATACTTGAGATCTTGTTCCACTACCACAAGGAAGAAAGGCCATTGGCAATAAATAGGTTTATAAGATAAAGCGTGATGATAATGATAAAGAGGAGCGGTATCATGCAATATTGGTGATGAAAGGATATGCTCAGAAAGAAGTAATAGAATTTAATGAGATATTTTCCCCGGTGGTATAATTTACTACAATTAGAGTAGTCTTGACGATGTGTGCTATATTTGATCTTTACTTAGAGCAGTTAGATGTGAAAACTGCATTTCTTCATGGAGAACTTGAAGAAGAAATTTATATGCTTCAACCAGAGGGTTTTGTTGAAATAGGTAAGGAGAACTTGGTTTACAGGTTGAACAAATTTCTATACAGTCTCAAACAAGCGCTGAGGTGTTGGTATAACAGATTTGATTCCTTTATAATTAGCCTTGGGTACAACAGACTCAGTTCAGACCATTGTACGTATTACAAGAGGTTTGAAGAAGATTTCATCATTTTGTTGTTATGCGTGGATGACATGTTAATGATAGGCCCCAACAAAGATCGAGTCCAAGAATTAGAAGATTTAAAGACACAGTTGACTAGAGAGTTTGATATGAAGGACTTGGGACTAGCAAACAAAATTCTAGGGATTCAAATTCACCAAGACAGAAATAAGAGGAAGATTTGGCTTTCTTAGAAGAATTATCTGAAGAAGATCTTGCGACACTTCAACATGCAAGATTGTAAGCCAATTTCCACCCCACTTCCTATTAACTTTAAATTATCCTCAAGTATGTCTCCTAGCAATGAAGCAGACAGGATGAAGATGTCTTGAGTACCGTATACATCAACAGTGAAAAGTTTAATGTTTGTTATAATATGTACAAGACCAGACATTATGCAAACAGCAGTGGAAAGTTTAATGTTTGTTATGATATGTACAAGACCAGACATTATGCAAACAGTGAGAGCAACTAGTCAATACATGGTAAATCCTGGTAGAGAGGATTGGAATACTATTAAGAGGATCTTAAAATACATCAAGGGTACCTTAGATGCCGTATTATGTTATAGGATATCAGAATTTACTATCGGAGGGTATGTTGATTTAGATTTTTCTGATAACCTTGAGAAAAAAAAATCTACTACAGGCTATGCGTTCATAATTGCAAAAGGAGCTGTAAGCTGAGTCTCTAAACTTTAGACTGTTATAGCGTTAGCCACAATAGAAGCTGAGTATATGGCAGCTAAACAAGCATGTAAAAAAGCAATATGAATGAAAAAACTTATGGAGGAGCTCAGGCACAAACAAAAGAAGATTCTTTTGTATTGTGATGGTCAGAGTGTCTTATATATTGCAAGGAATCCAGCGTTTCATTTAAGAATAAAACATATAGATGTTCAGTATCACTTTGTTCGTGAAGTGGAGGAAGATGAAAGTGTGGATTTTCATAAAGTTCACACAAAAAAAAATCTAGTAGATGTTTTGACCAAACCAGTCAACGCTGGCAAGCATATAGGGTGCAGATCCTTTTATAGCCTAACTGAAACTTTAACAGCATGAAGATGACAAGTATACAAAGTATAAAATAATCATAAATGATCAAGTGTGAAGACTTGATTAAATCATTAAAGTCTTTAGGTGAGAGAATGTGAAGCCAACTATGAAACCAGCTAGGGAAACGCCAATTAGTGCAACTTGTAGCATTAATTAGTGTCAATTAGTGCCACTCCCACTTGTCCCTTGTTTTTTACATGGATGCTTGCATATAAATAGGCAATGCATCTAAGCTTATTATACACACCATAAGTGAGAAACAAGAGAGAAGAAGAGGAGAGTGAGAGAAGGAAAGTAATCCCATAAAATTATGAGGTATTTATGAGGAGAGTAAGTAAGGTGTTTTTTTCTAGTAATAGAGAGATTTTAATTGTTCTCCTATTAGTAGAGAGGATGTAATTCTCACATTACTTAGTAAAATCCTTCTATATTTGCTTGTGAACGTAGTCAAAATTGGGTGAACCACATAAATTCTTATGTGTTTCATTTCTCATTTTATTTTATCCCTTACCTTTATTTTGTCGGATTTGTATACCAATATCCTAACACACGATTCATTCCCGCTAATGTTTTCTCAGCTCTTTACAACTTTATCATGCAAAGGGAGTTCTCCAGCTATGTTGAAAATGGATGTGAAGCAGAAGATAAGAAAGTGTTACAAGGAAAAAAAAAAACACCAAAATCACCATTATATATTTGCCAAATGATTGTCCTATCCTTGTTAAAAAAGAATAACAAGGAAAATGGCACCTAGGATTGGTTTAAAGATCTCAATTTTAATCATAGAAACATATAATCAAGAAAGAACTATCTGGTGACTGGGAGTGTGAAATTCGAGGTTTTTAATAAGGACGTCCTCATGCTATCTGGTGTTGTAGATTTGTGTTGTAGCAATGGTTTTGTAGAGGGATCGGGGAACCATGATCAGATGTGGAGAATGAATTGTGAATCACTCATAACAATAGGCACCGCCGCACCAGCTTCCTGAAGGCTAAACGATTTATGGGTTCAGATTCATAGATGCCAACAACTGAGGTCTACATTGCACGATCTTTCCCAAGCACTCCAGTTGTCTTAAACAAGTCCTTGCATCTTGGTTTTCGTAAGGAGCAAATGAGAAAGGGGATGCTAGATTCCTTACCAGAATACGAGGCAATTGAAAGCCAAGAAGATGCCCCTTCCAGGCTTCCTTTACGGGTGAACCTTAATTTCATCTTGGATTTCTAGGAAAAATATGTGCTTTGCTTTCAAATGTTTAGTTTTGTTTTTGTTTTTGTTTTTTTGACTCGATTCTGTCTTTGCAAGTTCTTTAGCGCTTTTCACTCTATTCTAGCTGTTCTACTGATATTAACGGATATGATTCTAACATGTGTTTTTTAAGTTAGAGGATAGTACAATCCCAACCCATTTTGTTTTCTGGATATTTGCTTACATTACCCGTTACAACAAAAACAAATTTGTATGATAAAAGTCTACTTTTAGAATCCCTTTTTTTTTTTTCTTGATAGCGTGTTTTATTCATGGTAAACATACCTGATAGCGTGTTTTATTCATGGTAAACATAAAATTACGTGAACACCTTAATATTGAAAAATCAATTAAATTAAGAAAATTAAAAAAAATAGCTGAAAAAACTTAACCATAAAAAAAATCAATTAAACTAATTAAAATTTTAAAAAAATCGACTGGTTTGGTTTGGTTCGGTTCGGTTCCAGTTTATAAGCCTGAAACTGAAAAAACCGAATTGAATCCAAAAAGGAAAAAAAAAACTAAAAAAACCAAGCTAAACTATAAAAAAACAAGCTAAACGGGTTTGAACCAGTTTTTCCCCAAAATAATAGAGCTAAACTGAAACTGATCGGTTTGAATTTGTTTCGGTTCAGTTTTGGTTTTTTTTAAAAACTGATTTTGGTTTTTTTTGATAAAAACCGAACTAAACTGAAAATAATCACCTATATTAAAAAGTATAATCACTAAGGCACTGTTTATTTGCTAGAAAGTAGTTTTATTCTGGAATATGAATTCTAAAAAATGCATTATTTTCCGATGCTTGGTAGTGTAATGGAAAATAAAGCCTCGTTTGTTTGCAGGAAAGTAATTTCATTTTGGAAAATGATTTCTTTGAAAAGTAAATTCTGAAAAAGTAAATTATTGTTTTATGTTTGTTAGTGTCATGGAAAATAAGTTGAAAAATATTTTTCTTATTTGGTTATGTCATTAAAAATGAGTTAGAAAATAATTTATTGATATTTTTTTTTTAACTTTATTAAAATAACGAGGAACAAATCTTACAAATTAAAAAAGTTGATGAAAATAAAATTAAAAAAAAAATTCATAAGTTTCATAAATTATCTCAAATAAAATAGATAATAATCAAAATAATAGAGATCAAATCTAACAAATAAAAAAATTAAAAGATGAAGAAATTAAAATAATAGTAGTAATTACCATTTCAATAAGTAACAATAAAAAAAATAAGGACCAAATTCAATAGATAAAAAATTTTAATTAAAAAAAGATAAGGAAAAAACGAATAAAAATTATAAAAATAAGAAACAAAGTTAATATAACAATTAAATTTTAAGAAATAAAATTAAACAAAAAATTCAAAATAAAATATATATAGCAATCAAAAGTTTAAGAATTAAATTTAATATAATCAACGAAAAAACATAATATTTTTAAATTTTTCATAACTTTCAAAAAGTAATTTCTGTCTAAAATAAAAAAAAAACACTTTCCTGAAAACTAAACTAAATTTTTCTTTGGCCGGAAAATATTTTTCACTGACAAATTTTTTTAATAACAAACAAATACATAAAAATATAAAAATGATTTGCAAAAACAGTTTTGCATCAAACAAACACCGCCTAAACTATAAATTTAAGTTAATCTCTTTGAAGAGTTATATGGTTTTCGAGGGGGTGTCATCGGAGTGACATTCCTCCCTCTTATCTCAAGCAGGTGAATGCAGGTGACTTGGTAAGCTTCAAACAGGATCATAAGATGATAATTATGCATGAAGATCTGCTGGTTTTTTAGAAAAATTAATAATGCTCAGAGAAAAATGGTTGTTTAAGGCTGTTATAGTTTCCTCTAATGACAGCATTCAACATGATTCTTAATCTAGAACTAATCGGGGCTTAACCAGGCCCACTGGTAGCTTTGTTTACCTTACAATTTGTGGGCATTCATATGCTTGAGAGATTGTCGCCATGTTACAACCTGTTCTGTGTTACAACTGCAGTTGCGATAGGAATTCCTCTGTTTTAGTCTTCTTAGTAAGTTATGTTGCGAGCGATTGTAGAGATTTTTTTAAGGATTTGAACCTGATACCACCTAAGATCAATACGTTATCCTCATTTCTTTCGAGTTATGGCCCCCAAGCACTCTGCTTTTCATTTGCCTTTAGAACTTTGCTGTTATCTGACTACTCAAATCTCAAGCTAGAAACTGAAGATTGCCGCCACCTGTACCCAGGAACAGAATTTATGGACGTTGAAGATGGTGAAATGTCATGGTTCTACGCTGATGTCAGAGTGGGTGTTGGAATTGGCCCAAGCATTTGTGTTGGGATTGGGATAGGCGTGCCGTGTGGGCTTGGTGGCTCAAACCTACAAAGGCACCACCCGAAACTGAAGGCAATTTTGGTGATGAACAGGATTTATCCTTTGCGGCATGTAAATGAACACCCTGTTTTGACATACACATCTTGCTGGTTTTGCTTGCTTGTTTTCTGTTTTACAGGAGTCAAATCATTTGTGGCTCCCATTATGACAGCTCCCATTGTTGCTCCCTGTACTGCTTAGCATCATCACCCATTATTGCTCCCTGTACTGCTTAGCATCATCACCTACGATCATGAACTTTTATCAAGCTAAATTGCATGTTGCAAATACGGTAACGAAGGTGCGGTTTGCACTTTATCTGTCTTCATCCTCACCATGGCTCCAGATTCTTTCACTTTGATAGACAGGAGAGGCCAGTGACACTTTTCCCACAAGACTAGCCCGGAGTAGAAATCACAAGACAATTGAATATACTACATCAACAAATTCAAATTGCTATTAGCAACCCGAAAAACACAAGCGTGCATCAGTCTTTAGTTGGTCTTAATGGGCTGGGATCACACTGCCAAATGAGAATTTACCAACACATGTTTGTATATTTCAGAGAATTTAACAAGTTTTCAAGGAGAATTTTGCAAACAGCAACATTTTAATCCTACAGCACTCGTTAGAAGTCATTTGGCCCACTGGTCACTTCAGCGCTCAAGGAGAGAGGGAAACATGCAAAACCAAATCAGAGCATTTTGCCGAGGACGGTCCGCGGTGGAATTCTATAAACACCAGCCTAATATGTACATTTCACATAAACGCCTATACCTTTGTAAATACGCAGCATGACAGGAGCAACAGTTCATCTGTCAAACTTGTGGTTGATTTGTTGCACGGCGGAACCAAGTGTTGAATGCGGTGACTAAGTGGGGGCAATCTTCAACATTTCGAGTTGAGAAGCTGAGACACTGCTGCAACAACACTTGTGCATCTGACATGGGAAGTGTGGAGATAATTCTTAGAAATGTCTCTTCCAGCTCCAGGTACAGTGATTTATGACTTGGTAACATAGAAGAAAATGCACTGTCTTTGCATACAATCAGAACAGGAAGCCAATCCTTTACAAGCTTCATCCTCACCTGCAAGCAAACGCTCAAATTAATTAACCATCTGTGCTACTCGTTAAGGATTTCACAACAAGAAATCTTGGTCGAGCCTTCCAAGCACAGATAGGCTCTAACACACTTTTTGTTAATACTAACAATTCAGCTTTTGGAAAAACCAAAAACAATTCAAACTTCACGCATCCAATCCTTGACGGATTGCTTATTTTAAAGAACTGGTGGCAGTGATCACAAAATAATCGAAAATAAAAGGCAATAGCAATACCTGTCTAGCGGCCAGAATGGTCCCAGAAGCAACAGCGTTAGCAAGCTTACAAGTGCAACGAAGCAAAACAGCAGGAAAGCCCGGAACAATATTCCTCCACGCATCATCCCGAAAAGCCCTCTGCAAATCAGCCGTAAAAGAATCTTGCTCACTCCACTCCTTCACCGCACTATCCGCCACTCTCAGCTCAATCATCCTCTCCACTAACCACAACAAATGCTTCCCATTTGTCATCGCTGTATGCAAATTCAACCTTTGTATCGCTTCCGTCTCATTATGATCCCCTCTAAAATTCGGACTCGAATACTCCTCAAGCGATTCCTTCACAATCTTCAAACTCGTCTCAAACGCCATCTCCAAAACCCTCCTCGCCGACTCCCTCGATGAAAAATCCCTCAACAACTTAGCCACAAACGCTTTCACAAATGCCATGTTCGAACTACTATGAATCGCAGCCAATATCAAACCATGAAGCATCTCGTCACACGAATCATATTTCGCCGGAGAAACCCTAGCTAATAGCTCTTCAGATTCCTCCTCGCGTAAATATGGAATTAAATTAATCACGCGCTTCTCTTCCTCTTCACTCCACGGCACAGCCTCAAGATACATGACGCAATAATCCGCACACTCATCAAACAACAACTTTAACGCCACCGGCAAAATATCTAGAGCCACCGCAGCAGAGTTAATCACATTATTGAAATCGTTTGTATACAGCAATTGTAAAACGCTTAGATGGACTTCGATCGATCCAGGAGCGACGCCTAATTTTAGAGGAATCAAGTACTGGTCGATTTTATTTTCATCAGAATCGGGATTTTCCTTGGAGTGCTGCCATCTGTCGGATAAAAGGGCGGAGAAATACTTAGAGCGTTGGAGGATGCGAGAATGGAGGTAGATCTGGACATTGGATTGGTTCTTATTGTCAATTGAATAAACTGAATCCGAGAAGTTAATGATGGGGGCAGTGGGGTCCAGGAAGAGGCGGAGGATGACGTCAGCGGTGTTAACGTCGTTGAACGGGGTGATGGTGGTGGTGGAGGAGGGGGTGGTGGAGAGGAGCGGGTGGGAGGAGGTTCGGCGGAGTTTTTTGGAGGTTTCGGAGATGGCTTTGTCAGGAAATGAATCGCTTAAGGCGGCAGTGGAGGACAGGCTAGTGGATCTGGAGGCGGTTGAGCGGAGGCTAGTGGTTGTGGAGACGGTGGAATGGCGGTTGTATGGCGCGCGTGGCCATTTCTTGGAGGTGGATGGGATCATTATCGATAAGTTTCTGGATTAGGGAAGATTTTTTTCTGGGTGCAAATAGGAAGATTTGTTGGCGGTGTAAATTTTTTAAAGCTTGCTGGGTGGACAGGTGGCGTGGTGATGATTTTTTTTTTTTTCATGAATTGGCGAGCGGAGAAACTATGTAGTCGGTGTTTCTTGTCGTTTGCTGGAGAAATGGGTGAAAACATTAGCGTCCGAGCGCCCTCATTTTACTAAACTACCCTCATTGTACTAAACTGTGGGCTATTGCTTTGGAAGTGTACATGCATGATACTCCCCCAGTTTCGTTGTGCTTGTATAAATTTCTTAAAATAAAATAAATATTAATTAAAATATCTGTTTTAAAAATATTATCTCACTTTTATTTTCAATTTTTTTTATATAGTTAAATTTTATTTTGAATATATTTTTAAAATAATAGAGAGAATAAGGGAGACTATATAATAATTCTACTTTAATTTGTTTTAAAAAATAAATAAATTAAAATCATAAAAAATTATAAATTAATATGGGACTAAGGAATTAATAATCATCAGCTGATAATTAATTACATACTTGAGTGGATAGGCATGGTGCCAGTCAAATTCTCTATTAATTTCTACGGTAAATTCTTCTGGATACGCTACCGTGCTGAGCTGGCAAATTCAGCGGTTGATTAGGATTCTCTAGTGCCCCTTCTCTATGTCACCATCACCACTAGAGGGCGTTTAGGAGTGTATTTAAAAAATATTTTTAAAACAATTTAAAATATTTTTTTAAATTAATATATGTTTAATATTTTTAAATTATTTTAATATATTAATCTTAAAAATAATTTTTATAAAATAAAAAATATTATTAATATATTTTTTTAAATAAAAAACATTTTAAAAAATAACAAAAACACATTCTCATACACATTCTGAGGATTCCATATATATTAAATTCAGCGGTTGGTTAGGATTCTAGTGCCCCTTCTCTATATCACTATCACTACTTAGCCTTGATTAGGATTCTATATATAGGTGCACCTTTTCTTATCCCTATATATCACCATAAGAACTTCAAGCTTCCCGCAGATTTTGGAGTTCTTTTCTTCGTTTTTTTTCGTTGTTCTCTAGATTAATTTGTCTGCCAAAACCTACAGAAAGTCTTATCCTGAATTTCAAAGACATGCCTAAAGAACATGGAACCCTAGCTCAAGTTTTGTCCGTCCAAGAACAGGTGATTGGTCGAGAAGAATCTGAAACTTCTCATCAGGAGTTACCCCTCAACTTCCCAAATCAACAAACGACAAGCCGCCACGAGTCTTCTGTATCTGCTGGGTTCGAGGGTGTAGCAGAACCCTGTAGCAGGGAAACACCTACCGAGAAGGATGAGGATTGTAGTTTCTCAAATCACAATGTGGCTATTGCTACTCATGCCATCTTATTGGAATTTGGTTTTATCGGGTTCGATTTGAAATCTGGGATGAAAGTTGATCAGTTTCGTCCTCCAACAGACCTGTCTTCAAACGCATTCACGATGTGGTACACTCTTCCAGGGCTCTTGCTTCCTGAAAACGTCGTTGCTGAATCGATTTATGTGAAGGTACAGTGTTCAGAAGATACCGTCAATGTATATGGATCTTTGACCAAGGATGGCTCGGATATACACAGGGTGTGTTTGAATGGAAAGGCGTTTGGACGCGCTATAAATTTGTTGCGAGCAAATTGTGAAAGGAACTCTTTGATGAATGACAATGATAAGAATGAAGTTCGACAGCTAGAGAAATTTCTGAAGGATGGACTAGCTTTGCCACTGTTAATAGATCTTTGTGAGAAGACCGGTATGGCTCTTCCACCATGCTTCGACCGCCTCCCAAGAGAGTTGAAGTTAAAGATCATGGGGTTGCTTTCCCTCGTAGATGTTGGGAGAATGGAATGTGTTTGCTCGGAGCTGCGGTTTTTGTCCAGGGCCAATCGTTTAATTTGGCAGATATTCCAGCAGGATATGATGCCACCACCAGAAAAATACGAAGACTCGATAGCCAAAATTCAGCTGTTCATGAGAATAATAAAAGTGAGGAGCATGAAGAAGAAGGCGATGTCAAACATATCCATGGAACAAGAAAAATAGAACATTGTGCTGTGTTCTCCAACTCTATTCCTCTGCTGCTGTGGGACAACATAGAATTTTTTCCCCACAAATATATAATTAATAATTAAATTTAAGGTGCAAATAAATGATCATAATTAATATTTAAATTCAAAAGGAAGTAAAGAGACTCGGAAATCTTATTCGTTTTTTTATTTGTCTAGATTTTTTTCATGTTTTTTTTTTAATTATTATTATTGTTTTGATCATATTAAGAAATATTGCATGTTCATGCACTGTGAGTGTTACATAGTGGGCATTAGGTGCCTTTAGACCATGACAAAATCTGTTTTCTCATCACATTTTGTTTTCTCACCGCATCTTAAGCCTTCCATGTTGTTGGACAAAATCCTTTTTGTTTTTCCTTTGGATCACTCGAAAGGAACTAGAAAGAACCTAAAATCTTTTTGGTTTTTTCCGGTGGTAGCAAGCATGCAAATTAGGACTGCACTTGACACCTCCTGCACTTCTCACCTACTATCCTAATTAATTTTTGTGATATTATTTATGTATATAATAGTGATTTTTTTTGTTTAAAAATATATAAAAATAATATTTTTTTATTTTTAAAAAATTAATTTTATCAATAGTACA